GTGTGTGTGTGTGTGTGTGTGTGTGTGTGTGTGTGTGTGTGTGTGTGTGTGTGTGTGTGTGTGTGTGTGTGTGTGTGTGAAGAAGTGCCGAGTGGGACGGGGAGGAGAAAATGATCGAGAGAGGATGAACATAAAGAAAGAAACGGTGGGAGAGGATAAAAGAGGCGGGGTAGTGGGACGGGGATGTGGGGGGGTGATGCGGTTGCCTTGGCGATGGTAGTCACGTCCCGGGCCGTCTGGTTGTCCTTAGCAACCAGACATGATGTAACGCAGAGATGAACTTGAACTGGACGGGCCAGTGAGGAAGAGGAGGGAGAGATTCATGAACGATGCACCTTTGGCGATCGATACGAGCCTATCAGAGATGGATTACACACACACACACACACACACAGAGTTTTGTGCTCCTGTGTCATAAACTCATACCCAGAGCGGAGAAGCAGCGTCCTGTGTTTGTAGTCCGAGAACCTGACAGTCTGACATCAGCCTGTTGTGGGTTCGACTAAATCAAGCCCCACTGGCATCCCCTAGAGGCAGCAGTGTTCATTACAACCACAGGATTATAGTGCTGGAAAGAGAATATCCTGAGGATAGCATCAAATAGCAAATAACAGAAATCCAGCCTGGAGGGACTGTTTGAGGCTTACTTAAAGGAGGCAAAGTCTTTTAATTCCCACAGTGTATCTGTATTATTGGACAGCAGCAGAGTAGCTCGGCATGATACAGGGTTCAAAATTATCTTCTTCTATCTCTTTACATTATGCTTTAGTGCACCACCTCAGTTTATGAACATGCAGTTTTAGCTCCTGCCCCTGGGAAAGACTTTCTTCTGATTTGCTGCTACTCGTAAATGGAAGGGTTGAACATGCTTATATGGTGATCTCTGTTGGAGACTATTTAATCATATCCTATCTCTATGTCACACAGACCCAATAGAAGAAAAAAATGGATAAATTGGTCTCAGAAAGTTGACTCTGTTCATCTGGACAAAGCGTTTCCAAGTTTCTGAGATTTCCTTACCCGGGAGATTGAGCATCCATCAAGACGTGACTGGGTGTTTAGAGCACTCTGTAGCCTAAGCTTTTAGCTCACAGTGATCACTGTACATACACTGACCTCATAAACCTCTAAAACTAAATTTTTTACACCTTTGCACTAGGGCTGCCACGATTAGTCGACTAATCACGATTACGTCGACTATCAAAATTGTCAACGACAAATTTAATATTCAACGCGTCGTTTGAAGCTTTGTAAGATCCTGAAAGACGCAGGAATAAGTGGTAGGATTTAAGAGTTTAATAACAGACTGAAACAGAAGATGGCAGCAATGCATCTACAGCTGCCGCTAAACCCCGAAGAAGAAGAAGCAGTCTCCGGTATCGTAGCTGTGTCCAAATTTAGGGGCTGCATCCTTCGGATCCGATTATGTTACAGCGACGCAACGAAGGCTGTCCAAATTCGAAGACTTCTCCAAACACACCCAACCCATCCTCCGTTTCCCCAGATTTGAAGGATGGGTTAGGTGTGTCCTTCGTGGCCCAACCTATCCCAGAATTCATAGCGCGGCCCAGCCAATTCTAGTTTCCAACAATGGCAGCAACTACTTAGTATTAATATTACTCGTATTACTCTTTCTGGGTCACAAAATAAACTTTTAAGATATTTTCAGGTGAGAATGTAGGTGTGTAAACTTCAAATATCTGCTCGGTTTATCAAGACGTCACATATTTGTAAAAGTGCTCCGATGTTTTTTGAGACGTCTGTTACCCACCAGCTCAATAGCTAGCCGGGGGGTTCAAGGCTCACTAGAGCAAGTGAGAAAACCGGACTCCCGGCACATTGTTTTCAAACCCCCCGCAGTCTTTCGCTACTCAGGTTAAACATGATATATAAGTCATTTAGATAACTTAAAAATAATAATAATTAAAATTAATTATAGTTTGACTTTTTTCAGTATTTTATTTGTTCCTGAGTAAATTGGTTTTGCTGAGATGAAAGTTATAATTTTCGCACAGCTGAATAAACGTCAAACAGAAAACTGATTAAACAGAAGTGTGAGATGGTCGAGAATTTACTCCAGTGTCCTGTTATATTTTAGATAGCAAGGAGCAGACGGCTGAGTTTATTATACTCCACCGAGATAATCTGCAAATTTCATTAAAAGTTTAATAAACTATCATCTTCTCTTTATTTTTAGTTAGCACATAACTTAAACACTTCAAACTGTAAGCTAATGATAGCTATATAAGAGCAGACGCATGCTGATGCAATAAGCTGTATGTTTTACGTCCAATGGATGCATGATCTGATTAGCCAACTAATCACAAAAATAATCGGCGACTAGTCGACTATCAAAATAATCGTTTGTGGCAGCCCTACTTTGCACCCATATAACTGAGAGGAAGTATGGACAACTTCATATTTGCCCTTTGTTGGGGGCAGCCCACCAGACACCATCAGCATATATTTTTGTCACCTGTCCTACAAAAACAGGCAGTTTCACTCAAAAGTCAGTTAATGCTTTAATTTTAATCCATCTGGGTCCCAACTGTCTGGAGGTTGAATGTGGGTTTGTTTGGCCTACTGTCAGTGTCAGAGTGAAGATCATTCATGGACACACCTTTTCTGGTCTTGTGTTGTAACAGGATATATTGAACAACAGTCTCACTTATTTCAATCTAAAGAAATAATTCATGTTTCCTCAAAGACATACTTGAGTTATGCTGAATTCAGGAGAACACACATATTTAGTTTGGCGCTACAAGCTAATCCACCTTAAGATTTATACTGTAACATCATGAATCCTTAAGTAAGTTTTTCCTTATTCAGTTTTTAACCACAGTTTGGAGAATTGTTTCTATAGCAACAGGAGTTGAATGTATCATCTGCATAGAAAAGTCCATAAACTTCAGTCACAGTGTCATTGGTTTGTGGCCAATAACAAACCACACAACAAGCCGTCCTGGAGGCTGCACGGTGGGAAGATTTCATACAGCCTTAGACTAATCTTTGAAACCTTAGTGATATATGTGTAACCCCGCTGATTGGTTCTGGGTAAATTTGGACGACAAGTACCTGCAGTCGGGATCGTCCGGTAAGTGGTTGCTAAAGCAGTCCAGATGTTAACATCTGTTTTTATCTCTCCACAGTGGTACCTGGGATAAGGACTCCAGAGGCCCCTCCGCCCACCTGTACGACAGATCGCTGCAGTCTCCTCTCCGACCTTTCACCTTTGATGCCAGCTGTGACAGAAAGCCCAGTCTAACCTATCCCTACTCCTTTCCTGTTCCGCCGCCACCAGCACCACACACAGGCTCAGCAGCATCAGCATGGCTACAGCGGATCAAACGCACCGTGACCCCCTGCAAACTGTATATCACAGACATCCGTGCAAACGTATGGTTCACACCTCAGTGTCCATATACAGTGCCAGACCCACCCCCCACCCCAAATCCAACCAGGTTGATAAGTACGTGGGCGACCTGAGCCTTTGGGAAAGACTGAGTCACAGAGCTTCTGACGACACATATGCTCTCCCATCATCCTTTGCAGCGGGTGCATCCGTGGACTTACAGTCATACGAAACCCTCCCCACACTCATCACCTGCCCCCCCGTCTGGAGTCCGATGGTTTGGGGGTTCGTGAAGTTGGGATGTGGCACAGTTGGTACGAGGGGCCACCAACATCGCCACCACCTGAGCCTTCACGGACTTCCTGGGATGGACTTCACGCCCCTCGGTTGCTGGCAGGTCAGGGAGGGGGAAGTTGGAAGGCTCTTTGAAAGGACATGGACCTGGATGGATGTGGAGGTGTGACAGGCGCAAACAGACGCCCCCACCTGTTTCACAGAAATAACAAGAACTTCATGTGGAGGGGAGGGGGGGGGGGGCTGTGACGGGCGACTGGGTGGAGGGTGGGTATAATCGTGGGGTTTTAGGGTTTAGGGTTTTCTTTATGTGAAGTGTTGCGACCAGATGCTGGTGGATCCGAGTTTGTTCCTCTTGGATGCTTTTTGGCTTCACGGCTCATTGATTTTTCTCTTTTCGCCACCATTTCAGCCTCCTCGTCCTCCACCATCCACCCATGGGGGTGAAGCTACAGCATGCTAAGAGTGGGCCGAAAACTCTGGTGTCCGAATCGAGGCAGGCAGATAGGAGAGAGAAGAGCAACTCAAACTTTACCAGTGAAATATTGATCATGAGGAAAGTGCAATTTTGTTGGCTAGCTGTTGGATAGTTAAATATCTTTGTAAGATAGCTCGTTGAAAACAGTTGATGAAAAGTATATATAAATATATATTTTTCTTCCTAGTCCGCTCACACCTCTGGGACTCTAAAATAGCGGGGTAAAAAAGACAACCACACAGCGCTGAAGTCGAAACCACAGCCGGGTGAGAAATAAGGCGAGCTGTATTCACTTTTATCGTTTCTTCTTTGTCGTTTGTTCATCGTGTGAAGCTGTTAGATGGTAGAATGAGAATCCCTTTAACAAATATCATTTTAAACAATCAGTCTTTTAAAGCAGCTGAAGTCTGCGCTTCATTTTGTTTGAGGAGGGAAAAAAACGCCAAGCGGTTAACTTATTTTAATGAGCACATCGTTTTACTTTCGATCCGAATTTAATGAAATCTGGAGAAAAAGTACCATGTGAGTTTAAGCTGAAAATAATCGCGTGGTTTAATCTTTTAACGCGTGCCGCCCAGTAAGGGCCGGCCCTGCGATTGGCTGGGTCTCCTAGAGGTCGTGCCCAGCCAAAAGCACTTATTCCCGCAGTTGGCCAATAGGCTGTGAGTTTGTAATCAGGGGTTTTGGTTTAGCTATGAAGATGTAGAGCAGAGGGTAACTCTCTGGAAGCTTTCGTCCACAAACAGACGGCCGACAGCGCTTCACGTGCAACTCAGCATTTTATCGATCTTGAGTTTTGTTTTTCCTTTCCTATACTATATATATAAATATATACACACACACACACACACACACTTACGACCATCCAGCGTTGAACAAAAGTGAATTTAAGTGAAAAAGTTATTTAAAAAAAAAAGAACAAAAAAATGCATGTTCTAGTGTTAGTGACAGATTTTTCCATAGATGATGTAGTTAGTGAGAAAAGACACTATATTGTAAACCCAACATCCGGCACTTGCCAGCAGCCGTCTATTAGTTTCCTCTTGCTGTCCTTCACAAACAACCAGCTCTCTTCGCTTCTCGTCATCTCTCCATCCTTTTTATTTCTCCTTCCTTCCTTTTCCTGCCACAACAGATCAGTTCTGCTTCGGTTTCGAGACGTTCATTCTTCCGTTTGATCTCAGATTGCACGGAAACACGTGTTCCTCATCGATGTGCCTTGAGCTTCAATTCAGTCCTGAGAGGTTTCATGAGATCTGGCGTGGAGAGTCGTGATTGGTTGTTTCTTTCCTTTAGTTTTCCTACTTTTCCTCCATACCCGAGATGTCGTAGAAGGCATTGAAGCTGAGGAGGAACCCTTTGTATTACGAGCTCTCGGGCCTGCGTGGCGTTCTGCCCCGCCCTCCAACACCTGCAGACCCGAGCAGATGAAATCTACACCAGCTACTATCAGCTCCACGTGCTAACAGCTAAAAGCACGCTGAAGTTTGGTGGAATGAGCACCCAGTGCGAGGTCATGTGACGTGATGATGTCTGGTTTGAACAAAAGGAAGTGAGCAGCACGGTTTGAGCCAACAGTTCTGCAGCTAAAAGTAGGTTTCAGGAAGTGCAGAGGTCAAAGTTCAGGGTCTCTGCTTTAGCAGTTTGGTCTTAGTTTTACAGCTGAAAGTGTTCAGCCAACAGTTTCATGATGGCAGACTTTTCAGTAAGTGAGCCGACCACATCACCTAATGAGCAAAACGTCATCCAGGTCTTGGTGGTCTTACGCACTTCACCTGAAGGCAGCTGGACTTCTTCTTAAGGTTCCTCACCTCACTGAGAGGCTTCCTCCATCCTAAAAGTTAATGTGGAGTCCTGGTATTTCTCTCAGGACCTCCTCCAAGGTGACAACCTGAGACTCCCTGTTTCTAGAATGGAGGAAGTGTCTCCTTTAGAAGTAGGATGAGGAGTTCACTCCTCCTGCTCCTCCACATCAAAAGGAGGCAGCCGGGGTGTCAGGCACGGCTCACCTCAGAGATTACATATCTCGGCTGTCCTGGGAACCAGCACCGCCGCTGTCCTTGGAGGTGGCAGAGGCAAGGGAAGTCTGGGCCCGGCCCCAGATAACCTGCAGAAAAAGTCGAGCAGCTTTAATGATAAATGTTAACAGAGCAGCATATTTGTTCGCCATGAGCAAAACAAAATGTGAACGAATTAACACACCGACAGGTTTTAAATATCACTCTGGGTCACCACACCTGAATCAAATGATAAGTTCATTACCAGGCCTCTGGTGGTAATTTAGCCATTTAAATCAGCTGTGTTGGATCAAGGAGACATCTAAAACCTGCAGGAAACCGGCCCTATTTTAAAGCCTGGTTAGGACACTTTTGGTCCGATGCATTCCAGACCAGCTTGTTACAGGTGTTTAGATGGTCACATGATTCTCTGAGAGTCTGCTACGCCTGGTGTGAGTAGGCTGTCACTGCAGGTGTGCTCATTGCACTGACCTTCACGCTCGTGTTGAAGGGGCAGACTGCTCTCCTGCGATGACTTGCGTCTGTTGCTGCGATCTCTGAACAGCAAAAAAACGTTTCTTTCACGTCTTCCTGTTTCCATTTTCAGTCCGTCAGTTCGTCTACTTTTGTTCCCACATTTGAATAACAAGGACATAAAATATGCAATACCTGCTTGCACTCAGACTTACGTAGTCTTCTGTTTCGTCTGTTTTGTGTTTGTTTTTTTCTTTCAACCAAAGTTAGCGTGCATGTAACTTCTGTCATGCTCCATGGTCAGTCCCTGAAAATGGTGAAGCCCCGCGGCGCCGCTCAGGGTGATTTACTCCGTTTCTTCCTTCCTTCCTTCCTTCCTTCCTTCCTTCCTTCCAGACAACCACAGTCTGACATCCGGGTCTCTCTTTCCCAAATCCTTTTTATTTGATTCCTTTAGTTGCCTCCGACAAGTCCAACTTCTCGTCCATCGTTCGGAAACGTTTCCGACGCCACTGCCCGCCTGCTGTGACGGCGCCCGCGGCTGTGACGGTCGAGTGGTTTCTCTTGCGGGTGCCGTGTTTCTTCCTCGTGTTTGTTCTGTCTCTGTTCTTGCCTACCCTTTAGCCATGAGTTGGGCATTAATTATCTGCACTAAATATGAAATAAATAGTGAAAAGTATGAAATTTAAAAAATAAAATAAATAAAAACAGCTTCCAGGGCTTAAAGCGAGTGAAGGGAATAAAATATTGCACGGACATTTTTTTGAAAGTGTCAGAAAAACTAAAAAAGCAGCCTAGCATCTAATCAGCGACGTACGGCTGCATGTAAGATAACAACACAATTGCACCGTTTTTAAAGACAGAAGATGATATAAAGCAATAGTTTGGGCAGCGTGTTTTGTTCTCGTGTTGTGTCATTTAGTTCAGCGGCGAAGAGACGGGCGGTGGGCAGAGCAGCAGCTGACTGCAAGACTTGTTTGTATGTTGTATAGTTTTATTAATTACACTGATTTTAAAGCTGCCCTATTTTCTAATGCAGGACTTTTGTAACATTGATTAAATGAGGAAAAAGTAGTGTTGTGAATTTTCTGATCGTTTGTATCGAGGCCACATTACTAGAACTGGTTGGTTTGTTTTCTGGGAACTGGACTTGAGTTGAAAACTTTCCTGTTTCCTGATTTGATTTCTTAGTTTTTCCTTTATTTGTTTTCCTTTTTCTGTGTATTTAAGGACATTTCCTCTGTTGATGGTTTAGCATATTCCTGCACTTACACGTTTGGGCGCTGTGGTGATCAGACCTTTGTAAATGGATGTTACAGTATGCTGTATGTTTTTGAAGGTTCTTTGTTGCATCAGTGTTGATGAAGCTAAATCCAGTAATTCTGAGGAAAATTGGTAAGAAAAGCGAGTTTTTTATGCATTTTTAACATTTTCGTTTTAGGCAGGAGACAATGACATAGCCAGCCAAAGGATGCCCCTACTATAAATGCATCTCGGCATCTTTTTTTGTGTTCACCATTCCATGCGGGAAAATAAACAGCTTGATTATGCAACATGATTCTTTTTCTTTTCCATCTGTTTCTTTCTTCACTGGCCCACAAGATCACCTCCTCCTCCTCACCCAGCCCTCCTCGAGCCTGGAGGTCCGCTTTGATCTCCGTCCATCCACACATCTGCCGCTGCTCCTCACATACAGTCAGCAGGTATCAGCCGGCGAGCGGCGAAGGCCGGCTTCCAGCGTGCTCTGAGGTCCCGCTCGCGATGTTTAGAGTAAACATTGAGAGGCGAGAACGCCAGCGAAGCTGCAGCTGGCGCTGTGGCCTCTGATTGCTTACAAGGGTCAAAGCGTCA